AGAAATTTGTAGATTTAGTCCTCAATTTGAGGTCGGATTCCAAAACCAATTATATATTCGGGCTTGGAGGAGAATGGGTAAATGGATTTTGGTCCGAACCTCGGATTTTGACCAAGCGGGCCCGGGATCGATTTTTCGACTTTTTGGAGGAAAATTTTAGAAATTTAATTTATGCAATATAATTGATTCCTTTAGCAATATTTGATATTATTGAGTCATTTTTGAATAGATACGAGTGGTTTGGAGGTGAATTCTAAAGAAAAAGCTATGATTGAGAATTAAGTGGCCTTCAGAGCGACGTAAGTGTTGTGTCTAACCCTGAGTTGAGGGAATTAGGAACCCTAGACTATTTGCTATGTGAAATTCATGTGAGCGACGTATATGTGAGGTGACCAGTACTTATGCACCACCAAATTACCTGTTTTTTCATGTTTCTTCCGTTTTTCTTACATTTTCTCTTTCCTATGTCTAATTGCTACGTGTTTATACTAGTGTTGTTAAATTGATCGTTCTTATAATGTTTACGGATTTTCTGGTGATAATTGAGTATTTATTTCAAAGTTGAGATGGATATTGCGGAACCAAATGTTGAAGTAAGGTTTGTACTTGTTATTCTATCTCCCTGTTGTTATTTATTCATTACATTATGGTAAGGGAGAGTGTTAATGCATGAAGGGTGATGCTGTGCTATATTGTGAGTATTAATGCACGACGGGTGATGCCGTGCCATGATATGAGAGTTAATGCACGAAGGGTGATGCCGTGCCATATTGTGAGTGTTAATGCACGAAGGGTGATATCGTGCCATGATATGAGAGTTAATGCACGAAGGGTGACGCCGTGCCATGATATGAGAGTTAATGCACGAAGGGTGACGCCGTGCCGTTTTTTAGTGATTTTATGGTGAGATTGAGAGTAAAAGCACGAAGGGTGATGCCGTGCATTTTTTCTTTACTATATTCGTGCTCCCGTTGATCCATATTATATTGGTTGTTTCAGGTCCCATTCTGATATAGCTCTTTACTTCGTATTTTCCCCCCAGCATGTAACCCCTCCCGAAAATTCCTATCTAGTTCTTCATTACAGTTATTTGTATATACACTGTTAAATTATACATGTTGATTTATAGGTGCCTTGCCTTAGCCTCGTCACTACTTTGTCGAGTTTAGGCTCGACACTTACCAGTACATGGGGTAGGTTGTGCTGATATTGCACTCTGCACTTTCTATGCAGATTTTGGTACCGACTCGGGTTGATCGAGATTTTTGCTATTGGACCGCTATCTGGAGACTCAAGGTAGATCTGTCGGCATTCACAGACCTTGAAGTCCCCGTCTATCTTTTCTGTTCTACTGTTTCTTTCATTCAGACAGTTGTATTTCCTTCAGACTATTACTTGTAGTGAATTCTAGAAAGCTCGTGAATTATGACTCCAGATCCGGGTGGTAGTAATTAATACAGTCTTTATATTATTTCGCACTTATTATATTTCGTCTTAGCTAATTATTGTTATTTACTGAATGAAAATAAGGGTTTGCTTTAAATGATTCTCTAACGTTGGCTTGCCTAGCAAGTGAAATATTAGGTGCCATCACGGTCTCGATGGTGGGAATCCGGGTCGTGACATCTAGTCGGATTATCGAAGCTGCATATTATAATCCTTATTAGAGGCCTATAGGCATGATCTTTAGGTGATTTGCTCTTGGGCAGTGAAACCATTGAATACTCAGAATTATTCGTCTGTGATCCTATAGGTATGATTTCTAAGCGAGTAGCAATATCCTATATGCATGTTCTCTATACAATTGGTATTTGAACACGTACTCGTTTTGTTTATCCCTATAGCATGTTTTCTAGGTGGGCAGTGTGATAAGAATAGCAACAACGACAATTTAATTAATCAATTAAGGTCTTATAGACATATTATCTAGATGAGTCACGTGGCTGGAGGAAATATCAATGAAAACATTTCTTAACTACTTAACGTGATCCTATAGGCATGATATCTAACAATCACATAGCAATAGAGCAAGTTGAAGAAATAACCAATGATGTTTAAATCCTATAGGTATGCTATCTAATAACGTGTAGAAGTGGAGCATGTGAACAAGTGAAACACTTAAATTCTTATAGGCATGTTTTCTAACAGTGTATAGGAATAGGACATGTTGAGCAAGTGAGGTGCTTAGGTTCCTATAGGCATTCTTTCTACCAGTGTATAGAAATAGAGCACGTCAAACAAGATAGCAAATAAAGCATTTAGACCCTATAGGCATATTTTCTACCCATTCATACGAGAATTAGAGTACCTGGCCTCATTTTACTAATTTCTCCCATTATTCAATTTTATAAGTTATTACATACCACATTGAATAATTATAGGCCCAATTACAAATATAGAATAACCAATAACACATTTGTTCCTTCAAATAGGCTTAGAACTTCATGCAGATGGCAGGCCCAAACTCCAGGTGTTGACAATGCACTTCAGAGCCCCAATACCAAAATCAGGCCCAAACAATTGGAGTAACTATCTTGTTTAACAGTTATTATTAACAAGAAATAAGCAAACACCATATGGCTTACAACTTCATGAAATTAGCTCACGGTAACAATAGACACTTCAGAATAATCAAGACTTGATCACAAGGAACATGACAGCAAAAGTTCAGGGCTAACAAGTAACAATTCCCACAAGTAAAGGTTCCGTATGAAAATTGTTGCTCCCAAATGCACACACAAGTATACGTGGTCGACAAGTAATATAGGATTGTAAGTCCAGATATCGTACCCACAGGGACTTGTAATTAACTATTTACTAAATTAAACTAACATAATTAATCTACACAAGCAATCTTCTAATATGTGATTATTTAACTAAAATTAATCTAGAGTAGTAAACTAAGAAATTAAAGAAAACAAGTCGGCAATATTAGAGACGAATTCAATGAGAGACGATTATCTAGAGCTATGAGTTAGCTAACAATCTCGTTGAGTTTTCTACTTAAATTATCTAATTAATTTATCTAGTTTATTGGTTGAAAGGGTTAATATTACTCGTAGCCTTCTCCCGAAGTACTACTCACATATTCAAACTAACCTAACGCCTATATTCCTATGAAATTAGGATTAACAAGAACACATTAATAATTTGCGTATAATAACCAAGCAACGCGATTAGGTATATCCCTATCCTAATCACAAATTCGTTCCCCGTTAATCAAGTTCAAGATCTCGCTCTACTCAATCTTATATGCAATCTAGAATTCCCTCTTTCGAGTTCAGTCCTATATTCGTAAATAATATTCAGTTGGTGATCAAGCAATCAAATAATTAAGCGCAAGATTGAATAAATAAACTAATATGATAAAATAATAAGAATAATTCAAGCTTCAAACTACAATGTTCATATAGAACCCAAAACTCTAGAACTAATAAACTATGAAGTTAAAGAAAGATATATGAAGAAATACTGAGAATCCTTGCTCCCGAGTGTTCCGTGCTTGTGTTT